AACATGTCTAGAATATTGTAGTTTAAAAAAAATTATATAATATTCTTTGAATTGAGGACGAAACTTCCTTCGGAAAACATACACAATTACTTCAAGAAAATATTTTTGGAGTATTTTTTTCACAATTACTTCTTGAAAAGGAATTTAAACTAATGCGTGTATGTGAAGAATTATTAGGATTTTTAAAGGGAAAATGCATAAATACCCCCCTGACCTATACCCGGATTCCCAACTACACACTTTTTCTTTGCAAGAATCCTATTACCCCCCTAAACTTATTTTAAATGGAATTATTTGCAGCCTTAACGCTGACGTGGAAGAGTGTGTGTATTTCACTCTTCCAAAGGAGAGTGAGAAGCAAGAAAAAATGAATTTCAGATTATCTTTTATTCTTTTTTAACAATTTTTCTTACTTTTTTTCCTTTTCCTTTTCCTTTTTCTTTGTCTTTTTTTTTTTACTTTTTTTTTTCGTTTCTTCTCTAATTCCGGCGGATATTCATTCACCGGCGACTTTGTCTCACCGTTTTTCTTCCATTTTTTCTTTTCACACACAAACTAAACTCTCAAACAGATCTATTCATAAGTAAAACAAAATACACTCAGATTGGGGGAAAAAAATTCATCATCGGAAAATCTTCCACGCCGAAAAAAAATAATGTAGTGACATTTTAACTGGAAAAAGTTTTTTCTCAGCTTATATTCGTTTTTATTTCTTTTGCTCTTCTCCCACACATAAATTACACTTTCAAGAACCCAATATTTATAATATAGTATATATATATATATATTATATATATATATATATATATAATAATATATATATATAATATATATAATATATAAACAAAACATACACTTAGATCGGGATAAAAATCATGCCCGGAACGAAAAAAATTGCTCGGAAAAAATGGTGTTTGTGAAATTCCGACGATCACCATTTTATGCTCGTCGGTGACCAAAACAAAAAGAAAGAGAAATGAAATAACAATAAATGAGAATAATAAAAAAATAAGAAAAAAGGATAAGAAAAAGAAGAAAGAATTAAAAACAAGTACTAAAAATACATGTGGGGGCGCGTGTAGCTAACCACTTGTCAAGAGTTTGGTTGTCTAGTTTTAGGGTGGTATTTATTCCATTTAAAATAAGTTTAGGGGGGTAATAGATTCCCGCAAAGAAAAAGTGATGTAGTTGGGAATCCGGGTATAGGTCAGGGGGGTACTTATGCATTTTTCCCATTTTTAAATGTTGCATAAGGCTAATGTCACCTTAAGCATTTGCATAATCTAAAGAGTTAATACCCTAAAATCCTTTAAACTATAACATTTTTGTTAGTTTCCTACTCAAACTATTCGGTGTCCCAAACCATTCCCCCCCCCCTCGAACTTTATTGTCCTTCATATTTAAAGCCCTCATCGCTGACCTGGCATAACGTGTGTGGACACCGTTGGGAGCGGCGTGGTACTGAAAAAAGCCATCAAAATGGCTCATATAACAGATAAATAATGCCTATTAGTAACCCTCTTTCACATTTATTTTTTAAGTAAATATTCTCTTTATTTTAGTTATATTCATCTTTCTTCCTCATTTTTTCACCATTCTTCCTTCTTTTTTTCTTTTTTCTTTTTACATTCTTTGTTTTTTTTCACCTTCTTCGTCATTTTTTAACCTTTTTTCTTCAGTTCTCCATATGAGTTTCCTATGAAAAAATTTCCGCCTCTCTTGTTTCCTCTGAAATGATTTATTTTCTTTTTTGTTTTAGTCTTCTTTCATGTCTACACATATCGTCGAAAGAATACCAATTTAAATCTTCTTATTAAACTCAACACCATGTAGAGAATAAAGTTTAATATCTTGAACCTTCTTTATGTAATATCAAATTAGAGAATGTAATTGTATTTGTTGGCTAATTAATTTTTTATTTGCGAAATTTTATTTTGTGTAATATTTTTATGTAATATAAGATGAATTTTAAATAAAACACTATATGCCTTTATTTATATTTTTAACTTCGATATAAAGTGAATATAAATGAACTTATTTAATTGGAGTTTGGCACAATTAAACCTAAAATTAACACAGTACATTAAATATTATTTTTGGCCAAAACTCCAAATTTAATCAATCATCCTAGAGTAATACATCAAGAGTAAACTATATAAATATTTTTTTTAAAATCACAAGTTAATAGTTAGACAAACACACCTTTAAAAGTCCATATAGGGTTTTTAATATATAAGAAAATATAGCTCGTGGGGGGATTTCAGGACAATGAATAGTTTAAGTAGGTAACTGAAAAAAATATGATAGTTTAGGCAGGTTTTAGGCTGAGTGAATAGCCACGTGTAGTGCTGAAGGTCAAAGATGAAAGCAGTAACGGCTAGGATCCTCTATTCTCTGGGGTTAGGTCTAAGGTTGTTGTTGAAAAAGAAGCTCATGGAAGAGCTAGAAGGGCGTTCATGGAGTCTTAGGGTTCCAGGTGCGTGCGGAAGAAGAAGAAAGGTCATTGGTATTAAGCAAGAACCGATGGGAGATCTCTTCTTCGCTGGTTCAAGAAGGAGCCTTTTTTTTTTGTTTATTGCGGCTAATTTCTTTAGACTAGGGTTCTCTCGTTTTTTTGGTTCTCAGCAGAAGATGATGGTAAAAGCTGGGGGTTCTTTCACTAGGGTCTTGCGGCTGATCTCCAAGACTAGGTTAGGGGTCTTTTTGTAGGGTTATTTTAATTAGGTATAAGAGGAGAAAGGTAAACGGGCCTGAATTTGGAAATTTGGTTGGACCATGTCTTTTGGGTTTGAATTTATGCTAAGAAGACCAATATACAATGTATCTATAAAGTGTAAAAATCACTCTTAATTAAAATAAAACTAATATAATTAAATACTAAAAGTGAAACTAATTTTTGTATTTTCAAGTTTTATGTAAGGTAGATAAATTAAAAGTAACTAGATAAAATATTAATTAGCTAAATAAAAGAAAATATTTTTCAAATTTTTATTTTGTGATAAAAATAGAGTAAAAGAGTCGATGATATGTATATATATATATTATATATATACTAATATTATATTATGTAATATATATCGTTGTGCGGAGATGGATGAGAAACTTCTTGACACGAGTGTATATCTAGACGATTCTTAGAGAAAGCACTCCATGTTGTTCGACTTAGCTTGGAGATTGATGATGAGGTTGAGGAGATTGATGCATCTTGTGCTTACATGCAGGGAATACACCTTTTGAGCACCTAAATAGGACAAGTGGGCCTCCTCCAAAGCCGTCCATTGAAGAAGCTCCAAAATTGGAGCTTAAACCCTTGCCTCTCACCTTTAATATGCTTATTTGGGTGGTTCTGACACTTTACCTGTTATTGTTTCTTCTGACTGTCTAAATGCAGGAAGAAAAGATGTTGAGAGTGCTACGTGAGCACAAGCTAGCAATTGGGTGGATGATGTCTGACATTAAAGGCATTAGTCCAGCTTTATGCATGCATAAAATCCTCATGGAGGACGTACACAAGCCAAGTGTAGAGCAACAACGCAGACTAAATCCAATCATGAAAGAGGTGGTAAAAATAAAGTGATTAAGTAGCTTGATGCGGTATTGTATTACCAATCTCTGATAGCAAATGGGTAAGCCCCATCCAATGTGTGCCTAAGAAAGTGTGGATGACGGTAGTGGTCAATGAAAATAATGACTTGATTCCACGAGAACTGTCACTGGGTGGGAGGAATTTGCTAGATGTTATAGAAAATTAAACAATGCCACCCGAAAGGACCACTTCCCCTCCCCTTTATTGACCAAATGCTTGATATTTTAACTGGCCAGGAATACTGTTCCCTAGATGGTTGTTTGGGGTATACTCATATTTCTATAGACCCAAAGGACCAAGAGAAAACCACATTTACGTGTCGCTACGGCACGTATAAGTTCAAGAGAAGCCCTTTGGTCTCTGTAATACACCTGCGAACTTTTCAAAGGTGTATGATGGCTATTTGTACTGACATGGTTGAAAGATTTGTAGAAGTGTTCATGGATGATTTTTTTGTGTTTAGGTGTTCTTTGATAATTGTTTAATGAACGATAAAATGCATGCTAGGTTTGAAGAGACGAACCTGGTGCTAAACTGGGAAAAGTGCCATTTCATGGTACGTGCATGTATAGTCTTAGGGCACAAGGTGTCCAAAAATAGTTTTTGCACCAAAGCAGAGGTGAAGGCGATTGAAAAATACCCCCACCGACATCCGCCAAAGGCATTCACAGCTTTTTGGGCCATGCATGTTTTTTATGGTCGTTTCATTAAAATTTTTCAAATATTTCTTCTCATTTGTGCAAGCTTCTTGAGAAAGATATCCCCCTTCAAGTTTGATGATGCGTGTCTGAAAGCATTTGAGGAGCTGAAGGGAAGATTGGTGAGACCACCAATTATCATTGCCCTGGATTGGGCGCAACCATTTGAGTTGATGTGCGATGCGAGTGACATAGCAATCGGAGCTATTTTGGGGAAATGGAGGGAATAAATTTTTTTACTCGATTTTACTACGCGAGCAAAACTCTAAATCCGGCCCAGATCAATTTTACATTGTTACGGCAAAGAGTTGCTTGCAGTAGTGTAGGCGTTTGACAAGTTCAGATCCTATCTAGTGGGAACCGAAGTCATTGTTTACACACATCATTCGGCTATCAGATACTTGTTTGAAAATAAAGATGCCAATCCGAGGTTGATTCGTTGGGTCCTCCTCTTCCAAGAATTTGACTTGGAGATCCGAGATCGAAAAGGAACAGAGAATCAAGTGGTCGATCACTTGTCCAGATTAGAAAATCGGAACCATGTAGCTAAGGAGGGTTTGATCAAAGAAACAATTCCTGATGAGTAGTTATTAGCAATCACCTCGAGTGAAGCTCCGTGGTATGCAGATTACGTGAATTTTATTGCAAGTGGGGTGACACCACCAGAATTGACACCCGATAATAGAAGAAGGTTTCTACATGATGTGAGGCTCTACATGTGGGATGAGCCATTCCTATATAAGCAGTGCACAGATCAGTTGGTACGAAGGTGTGTCCCTGAGGAGGAGATGAATGAAATATTGCATGACTGTCATGTCATGCCTCCCCATACGGAGGTCATCACCGTGGGGATAGAACCGCCCAAAAGGTGCTACAATCTGGTTTCTATTGGCCAAAATTGTTTAAGGATGCACACGCCTTTGTTAAAAAGTGTGACAGGTTCCAAAGAACTGGAACAATCACGAAAAAGCACGAGATGCCTTTGCAAAATATTCTGGCAGTATAGCTTTTTGATGTTTGGGGGATTGATTTTATAGGACCGTTTCCATACTCTAATGGGCACAAGTACATCTTGGTGGCGGTCGACTATGTGTCTAAGTGGGTGGAGGCTATAGCTCTTCCTACTAATGACGCAAAGGTAGTGGTAAACTTTGTAAAGAAGCACATCTTCACAATCTTTGGGACTCCAAGGGTGCTGATACGTGACGGAGGAACTCACTTTTGTAACAAGTTGTTGAATAATGTTCTAGCAAAGTATATGAGTTAAGCACAAGGTTTCTACCGTCTATCACTCCCAAACGAGTGGACAAGTGGAAGTGTCAAACAGAGAGGTGAAGAATATTCTGGAGAAAACGGTAAGTGGAAATAGGAAAGACTAGGCCGGAAAGCTGGACGACGCATTGTGGGCATATCGCACTGTATACAAGACCCCTATAGGTACTTCTCCTTACAGGTTGGTTTATGGGAAGGCGTTCCACTTGCCCGTTGAGCTTGAACACAAAGCCTATTGGGCGGTTAAAAAGCTAAATATGGAGATGGACTTAGCCGGTGAGAAGAGGTTGCTACAACTCAACGAGCTTGATGAGTTTCGATTGCATGCATATGAAAATGCCAAATTGTATAAAGAAAAGACCAAGAGGTGGCATGATAAGCACATCCAACATTGCAAGTTTGAGCCAGGTCAAGAAGTTCTCTTGTTTAATTCGAGGCTAAAGCTTTTTCCCGGAAAGCTTAAATCTCGATGGGCGGGTCCTTTTGAAGTGGTTAGTATGAAACCTCATGGAGCGGTGGAATTGTGTGACACAAGTTCCAGCGCGACATTCTTGGTAAATGGGTAGAGAGTAAAAACATTATTGGGTGGTAACATTGCACGTCGCAAGACCTCGATGGACTTGTCTAATGCGTGAAGAACGTGTTGCGTCGTGCCACGATGTTAAATCAGGCAATTCTTGGGAGGCAACCCAAGCCCTGTCTTTTATTTTCATAGTACGCTCGTTTTTCTAGTTCATTTTTCTTTTAATTTTAATTTTTGTTTGGAGTTCCTTAAATTTTTTTAACTTTTGTAGGAATTAATTCTTGTATGTATTTATTAGACAAAACAAAAATAACAAAAAAAAAAACTCCTGGTATGGGAAAATAGGGTGGATGCGTCGCATCCCCCTCAGCATGAAAAATTGACGAATCAACTGTACAAGGCACATGGTCACCACCACTTTTATCTAAAACAATTCACTTACATTGAGAAAACGATATTATTCCTAGCATTTTCATTGTTCTGTCTCTAGTGGAAATTATTGGCGAGATGGCATTGCCTTTTGATCGGACCCTTTGTCCGAATAAGAAGGTTATTCTCAGAACAAATGGGAGCTCTGGCAAATTCCTTAAAAATAGTCATTGACTATTTGCCATTTTCTTTACACAACCTGGTCCTCTTATCCACTACTCGTTGGTGGTTAACCAATTTCAAGAGTGTGTTTTCCAATATGTGATGTAGTTGTTATCCAGCTTCATGGGTGCGCTTTTTATTCCTGAAATACTGTGCAGGCTAGGGTAGTTCTTTTGTTCTGAATGTGTTGTAGCCACACCTCTTTTATCCACAGATGTTCGCGTTCAAGTATGTAAGCAATTTTACAGAAAAGTATGCAATCAGCTTATCCTGTAAAGCAGAGTAGTCACACGTATAACTGGGAGTACCTGCAAAGAGAAAAAGGAGCAAACATTTTACAAACATAGGCACATGTTAGCTGACAAATAACACTTGCTATATTAACTTTTTATCCAACTGTGCATACACCAAAATACAAAGGTAAAAAAGGAAAATTCTGCGAATTACTACTTATTTATTTGACAAAATTAATAATTTAAGCCATCTGATAAAAAATTAAAGGCAAAAAAATATACTTTGCAACAAAGTGTGCATCTCGAGGATTTTCATCAATTATACGACAAAGAAAACAAACTGAAGAAGATTCATAATAAGCAAATATGGTCAAGCACTAACCATTCAAGAAGCCATAGAAGGACAAGAAGAAGTGAGAACTCAGTAGAAGCACTTATAACCCAAACCCGCAGAAACCAAAGTAAACTGAGAAACACATAAGTTTAGTTGAGGCTTTGATCAGAGGGAAAAGGATTAAAGCAGAAGAGAAATTTTCTCAAACACCTAGTAAGAGAGTGAAACGCTTCAATTTCTGCAGTAACCCTTTTCATCAATTTTCCATTCTTGGTCTTCTCTTTGCATACGATTTTGTTGCTAACACTCCTTGGAATATTAGTGAAAATTTTTGATTAATTTTTCTGTTTAAATACGTATATGGACGCCCCAGATGGAAAAGAGGTTAAGCGAAGCCGAAGACCGGATACGCATTGCTCTCGATCTCAAAGCCGGTCTTCATCCCTCAAGGTTTCTTTTTCATTATTCTCTCTCTCAAGTATTCATCAAGTGTGTGTGGAATCTAAAATTTATTTTCTCCTGGACAGCTTTGTGAATTTTTTGCAAGTATTTGTTGATTTGTTCTGCACATGACTAGGCATTTTATTTTATTTTTCATAATATACGGTGTTGCTTTTTTGTAATTCAATAAACTCTGTACTTTGTGGCTACTTTCTTGAATTTTGGGAGTTGGCTAGGTCAAGCTTATGTAAAAGTGACTGTTAATGAAAGAAAAATTCTTCAATGAATCATATTTTCTATTTGATTTCTTTGGATTTAATTTCTTGCATATGATAATTTTGATTTTTGGGTAAACAATTCACAGAACAGTGATAGATTTTAGGGTCCTTGCGTGTGGTCTCTGTAATTTGTTCTGCTTCTTCAAGTTTTTTGCTGTGTTGATTTGGCTATTTGGCTTTAATAGGTTTCAGCAGAGTTCGGTCCGTATCATATCGATTTTATCCTTTTTGGTTCTCCGGTGTGTTTGATTTTGTTATTAAGAATTGGTTTATATGATTTGCGTGTAAACAATTTTGAGTGATTTTCTTATTAAGAATTGGTTAAGTTTTTTTTTTTTTGGTTCCGTGGGTTTAACGTCGGAGTAAAGAAATTAAGCTGAGGAGTACAAATAGTGCTTTTTTGCTTCGTCTGGCACTGGAAAACTGGGATTTCAGCACTATTGATTTCTGATAAATATGTTTCACGTTAAAAGTAGGAGATTCGTCCCAACTATAACTATCATTTGAACGTTGTAGTGCTGATTAAAGTAGGTGGCTGATCAAAGCTTTTCACATTCAAAAGCTTTGTCGTTTTTAATTTGAAAAATTTTATTATAAAAAAACTGATTTTCAGTTCAGACATGAAGAGGGGCAGAAAAATTGTTTTCGGCTGTATGGTACAGTATAGTTGGCTCTAAAGTCTAATAACGTAGAGTGAAACTTCCATTTTATTGTTCTGCTTCATTCCAGTAGCATTTCTCTTGATAAATTTTCCTTTTTGGACCTTCTTATGCAAAATTCTTTTTGAACCATCTATAAAAATGCAGTGTGATGACTTCATACTCTATAGTCAGTTATCTAAGAAGAAATAGTGCTGAAATCAAACAATAGAGTCTCTATGACTTCTCTGATGATAATGAGGAAGTTCTACGACTTCTTCCCTTTCACGTTCTTCAAAATGAGGAAGAACATAGATATGGTATATTATTTTTCTTATGAGTTACACGAAGAGAATATTGAGAAAAAATCAGCTTTTGGCTGGAAATATGAAAGAGTGCGGATGCTCTTATCATCTCAAAAAGATAATTTGTCGTCAATTAACATCCTCGGTAGATGCAAAAATGAAGTGTAAAAAGATCATATAGTATTCTTGTATTTTAGTTTATAGGCACATATAAGATAAGTAAGATATCATACTCAATCTGCAAATAAAGTAAATAAGCATCCTTGTACTAATAATATATAGTGTATAAACATGAGTACAACAATATAACCTTTTTTACAAAGCGAAGGATCGTTACCTGTTTCACGAATGATAGGGGGATCCAATATACCCTTTTCTTTTNACAACATATATACCTTTTTCACAAGTGAAGGATCATTACCTGTTTCACGAATAATAGGGGGATCCAATATACCCTTTTCTTTTTCTAAATTATCCCACTATGTACTCACGCAAGCTTGATGGCTGGTAGCTGGTAACACAACATCGAAGGCATTTAAAAGTGTACAACGAAGCTTCAGTAGGTGCAAAATAGAGTACAATAGAGCACGTGCTATTTGACTATTTTATCTTATAGGCACATAACATAAATAAGGTATTATACTAAGTTTCCAAACAGAATACATAAGCACCATTGTATCAATAACATATGGTTTCTAAAATGAGTACAACACTCTTAACCTTTTTCCGCAAGGGAAGGAGGTTCTCGTATGGTAAGAGTGGCTTGTTTTAGAAATCCTGCTTTGTCCCAAGATGATGTTGCCTGCTCTGGGACAGCAACAATCAGACTTTCAAGAAGGCTGTGCTTTGCAAAATTTTGTCTTCTCATACGTCGCGAAAGCAACATTGCTTCCCTTCTATGAGCAGATATTTGGCTCTGCGTGTCACGCCGTTTAAGCTGCATTGCAGCCTTCTTTTTTTCAGCGTATGAATACTTGTTTGGTTCTTTAGAATCCATCAATCGCGGCAGTTCAACTTCTCTTTTCACCTATAAATATTTCCAACCGAAGTTCTCATGAGATGTTTCAAAAAGACATAAATTATATTTTTAATATCATGGAACACTATATCTATTAAAGATTAATGTATTACCCACAGAAATACAATGAGAAAATTTGTTGAACTTCACTATTTACTTCTTCATCCGATAGAGGAATACTTTAATGTAAGACTAATTTATCACGAGAACTTTTGGGTGGTTTGAAATATTTTAATTTAACACTTACTTATCATAACAACATTCCTGGGGTTTGTCATGAGTTTCTACGACTGGTTGCCATTTTATATATGTATGCGACTTTGGTTATTAGTGCTGCAACTATCATTTAATTCTTCCCGTGGCACAAACGGGTCTACTAAGTCCCTATATTATTACTCCCTCCGTTTCATATATTTGAGGTAGTTTGACTCGGCACAGAGTTTAACAAAAAAGAAGAAGACTTTTGAAAGTTGTGGTCTTAAAAGCTTAAGGGGTAAAAGGTTTGTGGGGCCATGTCATTTGTGTAGCTATAAAAGCTTCTCATTAAGGGCAAAAAGGGCAAAATGAAGAGTTTAAAGTTGAATTATTTCCAAAGTTAGAAATGTGTCATTTGTTTTGGAACAGACTAAAAAGGAAAGTACCTCATTTAAGATGAAACGGAGGGAGTAATAAAATTCTACTTTGGAACTTTGGCAAATAATTTCCCTGAACACTAAACTTTCCTCTTTAGTTACCCTTTTTTATAGGCTACTTTCCTCTCTGATTACTGTGGTGTTTTAGCATTAGATTAGTATGATGTTGCAACAGCATAATTGAGCTTCCAACATACTTGAGAGATGATGTGTTACTTTCTGTTGAACTCAAGACACTCTATCGATCATGGGGTTTATATGATGTCTTACGTCCTTGCTGCAGTAATAAGTAGTTTTGGCTTATTTGTTTTTTATTCAACTCTAAGTGTATGAACTCATGTTGGTTATTATATATTCTTTAAAATTTTGTAGCTATTTGGAGCAAATAGAACAATCTGTATGTCATTGAATATATTTTTTGTCTAATCAGTTATGCATAATAGTTGTGCAATCATTGTTCAGTGTGGTCATCGTACATATTGTATGATGCAAGTTACAATCTCACTGAAGAAAAAGTGTGATAAATTAAATTTTGTTGTTTACAAGCACTCCGGACATGCACACAGGATAGTGGCTGTTATAGCATTTACATTAACAGAACATTGTGAATTCTCCAACAGCGAGGAAATAAATCTTAAGAAAGTTTACTTATTTTTTCAAATTGGCATTCAGTAAGCTGACTACCAAATGCTAATCCCAACAGCTTGATTTCATTTACTATTTCAGTTTATCTTCTTAATTGATTTAAAGGATTGTGCATATATGTGGAAAGAATCTCAGTACATAAAATAAGTGTACGCATGTACAATAATGTTTGATGAAAATTAATTTTTCCTTTTTATGTCCTATATCAAATTGAAGATACTACCAGACCCAAATAGCTATTTAGTAGCTTATACTGATTAAACAACATGGAATAGCAAGACTTTGAGAACATCTGGGCTTTTACAGATTTAACAGCTTATCAATGTGAACAAAAAATAAATTGTACATCCACATGTTAAAAGCTTCAAACTCTGATTCACGAAGACCAAGTGTGAAAAACAAACAATTAAAGATCTCATTGCAAACTTAATATTGAAATTTCTCTTCTTATTGAGAAAAGACACAAGGCATGGATGGTTTAGTTCAATCCGTACTGTCTAATTGAAAGCAAAAGTGGTTGTTAATATTTAGTCGCAGGTTTCCCCAACTATTTCACAATCGAGAAAATAAACCCAAAACAATAGTAGAAATCAAAAAAAAAAAATGCCTAATTCATTCAGGAATTGCCTCAAACACCTAACACTACAAGAAAACGTGGTTATTACGGCGGTTATTTTAGCATATAATGGCGGTTTCAAAGCGCCGTAATACACATTAACGGCAACTTTTGAAAGCGCCACAATTTCGTCCGCCAAAATTATATTATGGCGTTTCTGGGCAAACCGTCGTAACTACATTTAAAACCGCCGTATTTTAACAGTTTTAATATGGCTTTTATTTTTGCATATTAAGGCAGTTTTAAACCGCCGTAATGTTTTTTTTCCTTCTTCAGCCTATTCACAATCCTATTTTTTTACATTTAGAGTCCTATTTATTGAATGCTATGCTTTGGAATTTCTGTAGCACTTCATAATCAATTAAACCCAATATAGAAGATTAAGTAAGAAAAATATTCATTATATAAAACACAAGTATACCAAAATTACATCATCCAAATATTAATGCTTCAAAGTGTATTTCAACAGTGATATCCAAAAGATTCATAGTTGATCCAACAAAATAATCACAAATTCACACTTACACAAGTATACCAAAATTACATCCAAATATTAATGCTTAAAAGTGTATTTCCACAGTAATATCCAAAAGATCCATAGTTGATCCTATAAAATAATCACTAATTCACACTTGGACAATCATCATTGTTACTTTCATCTAAAGATCTTCTTGGTTCAACTGGTGCATCACTTCCTAAATCTGGTGCCTGAAAAAAAGGAAGAAAAAATACAGTCAATAAGCAAATAACTAAAATTTTAACAGGTAAGCTGAAGTAGTAGGACTGGATATACATAAATCACATTGAAATCAATGAGTTTAATCACCAAAAAGGCAACTACACGAATTAGGAAACCACATTATGTTAAAAAAAACCATAAGAAAAGCAAGTAACTAAAATTTTACTGTAGCAAAAGAACGTATACCTGTGGAGGAGTGGAAAATAAGTGAGCAAACTCCTCGGGGATATTCCCTATGTTCCTTTCATATAAGCTAATTAGTGCATTTAGTTTTGATTTCACATGTGTCATCTCTTGCTGCCACGCCGGAGTTGGAGCGGTAGTGCTAGATGAACCCACATAACCACGACGGTATCTCACAGATGTCTGTTTGAATGCTACAGTTGGAACTACACCCAAGCCTAAACCTCGAACACGGCCGGGGTGCTCGGGACCGAATACTATGCCAAGGGCATCATTTGGTGAAGGTTCATCAAGACTTTCTGCTCTTTCACTTCGAATTTCTTCTATTCTTTCCTACAAAAATTGAAGAAGCATAAACTGAACAATATGAAGGTGTTTGGTACTTGGAAATGACAAGAATTTTACATTAAACTGCTACCTAAAACATGAATCAAACCATGAACAGATCCATAACACCACATCCCAAAATGAAATGCAAATTACACCATATGGTCTAGCCAAAATTTCCGTAGAAGCAGCAGATCTTATTTAACGCTAATCTGCTAACATAACAACACTAATCACCTCATATATATCATTTCCGTAGAAGCAGCAGATTTCTTTTCCATAGAACACAAAAAAACCGCACTAAATGACTTCATATATATCAACATCGAAACTCACAGCAAAAAATATTAAAACTTTTAACAACTTGGCATAACTCGTAAGTCCTCATTATTGTTATTCCTCATATAAGTTATAAACCACTCTGCAAATCACCAAAACAAAATAAAATATAATTTCACAGCAGAAGGCACCAAAAATGTTACTTACCCCAATCACCCTAGCCTCATCAGTTACATAACTCCCATCTTTCCTTTTATGAGTCTCAGTCCATATTTTGCCTCGATCAAAAGCTTTTCCCATCGCCTTCTGAAATTTTTAAAATGAATAATGTTAGTAATTAATTGAGAACATATATCTTATCTAAGTTAAGTGCTTAAACAATCATTGCAGCCCTTCTTCTAGCCAAACTCATAGCACCGCAAGTATGAGGAAGTTGATTTTTTCGAATCTCAGCATTCTTCTTGCAACGCTCCTACAAATTAAATAGGTGAAATTCTATTATATAAGACCAAAATAAGCAAAAGCAGAAGCAATAGAAGTAGTAGAGAAGAAGCAGAAATAGAAGAAGCAACAGAAGTAGATACAGTAGCAGAAGCAGCAGCAGAAGTAGTAGAGAAGAAGAAGCAGAAACAGAAGAAGCAACAGAAGTAGATACAGTAGCAGAAGCAGCAGTAGAAACAAAAGAAGAAGCAGATAGCAGTAGCAGAAGCAACTATAACAGAAGAAACAACAGAAGCAAAAGAAGAAGCAGAAGTAGCAGTAGCAGAAGCAAAACAGTGCATAGAACTAACATTGGCTTGGTGCATTGTTTATGCGCATTTAGACAGCATCCTTTATGTGCATTGCTTCCTTTCCATTACTCCATTGAGGAAGAAATCCTAAGAATTGGGAAAGGCCAGAAGAGTTCCGTTCCAGAAATATTTCATCGAAAATAACATAGACATGAAAGGGCAAAACTTCACACTGTTGTCATCGAAAATAAAGTAAGCCATGAGGAGATTTATGGACTGACTACACGCCCATATAAGTCGATATCTATGATTATGGAACCAGGACTCCCCCGCCATCTTTATTAGTACTTGGTTTAATTCTTATCATTCTTGGTCAATTTAAGTGGTATGCTAGCATTAAAAACTCTGTAATTTGACGAAGGAGCATGTCACGGCCCAAAATCCACTAAGGGTCGTGGTGGCGCCTGACACCGTTGTCCGGCAAGCCAACTAAATTATCAATTAAATTCTCATTTAATACCTTTAAAAATCTAGGATTCTTTCTTCTATTTTTCATAAATAAAAAGGTCACTACTTCAATTCGAGTTAAATAACAAATAATTAGTACAAATCTTTCGAAAACCATCCCAGAACCCGGTGTCACAAGTGCATGAGCATTTACTGATAAGGACATAAAATACAATACAACCTCCGTCCTGAATACAATGGACAGAAAGAAAATACAAATTACTAGAGGGGACTTCACTAGCTGCGGGCCGCCTCGCATACTGCAACTCACCTAGTCCCCGAATCATCTGTGCTGCTATGCCCATTAGGCCGCTAAAGTAACATATACCTGTGCAACAAAAATGCACAGAAGTGTAGTATGAGTACGTAATCAACGTGTACTCAGTGAGTTTCCCGCCTAACCTCGAAGAGGTAGAGACGAGATGGTCAACCTAGACACTCTCTAGCGGTCCAATAATAATATACTAAATGTGTGAGGAAATCATGGATTCATATAGCATGCTCTAATTCACAAAGCTGTAAAACAGGTAAACACCTTTTAACAAGTAACAAAGGATTTTCAAGATTTACTCTTTATTATCTTATCAATTTATATCAAGCCACAAAGGGCAATTTCACATATAAAATTCTCAAGCGACAAATAACATGCGCAAATCACACCGAGGCGACGGCCCGATCCAACAGAAATGTAAAATTGTGCACTGCCGAGGGTCGAATGGCACGAACCATAGATGCATCTATTACGCCGCTCGCGAATCATCCATGCGACGCGGTCAACATAAAGTAAACAATCACCCTGCTCGCGAATCATCCATGCGACGCAGGTACACATAATATACATGCTCAGGTAGCCAATTAGAATTTTATCGGGGAATAATTATCCAAATAAAACCAATTCTCCTTTAACATTATTAAGAAATGAGGTTTAATTCTTTTTGACATTCATTTACTAATTTAATGTAATTTAAGAAAATCCAAGCTATCGATGGATTCACAAATAATTCAAGTATAACATGCTTTTGGGTCCTAACTACCCGGGCAATAGCATAATAGTAGCTACGCACGGACTCTCGTCACCTCGTGCGTACGTAGCCCCCACAATTAGGAGCACATAACCATTTAATTCACCTATGGGGACATTTCCCCCTCACAAGGTTGGAAAGGAGATTCACCTCGCTCCGAAGATCCATGACCGGCAATCCACACCCTTTCGGGGACTCTAATTGATGCGCCATGCTCCAAAACTAGCCAACGGTTACGCAAATCCATTAATATATGCTCCAACATTCATTACAAACTAATTCATAGCAATTCCTAACTCCGATCGAAAAGTTGACCAAAACGCCCTCGGGCCCACGTGCCCGAAAATTCGAAATTTTTCGAAGATAAAGATTACCCATGGCTTCACTAGCTCAAATATATAATTTACTCCTAATTCCATGCTCAATTCGTGATCATAATTCAAGAACACTAATTTTCTAGGTCTTCCCTCAAACCCCAAGTTTTTCTACAATTTCATGCTCAAATCCATACATAATTGATGTATTTAACTCAAAATAGGTGGGGGTAACTTACCTTGCCATTGGTGATGGAAATCCTCTCTAAAAATCCTCCAAGAATCGCCCCAAGCCAAGAAAAATATGATGAGAAATGGCCAAAATCGGATTTTAAAACAACATTCTGCCCCAGCTCTTTCCGCATCTGCGGCTCCCAGACCGCTTCTGCGGTCCCGCAGATGCGGCCCCAATACCGCATCTGCAGTCCTCACCAGGCCTCCCCCTTTCCGCTTCTGCGCTCCATCCCCCACAGGTGCGGTCCCGCATAATGACCGCATCTGCGGAATATTGACCGCATCTGCGGTCCCAGCTCCCATCGTCTCCAGCCGCTTCTGTGGTCCATCCCTCGTTTCTGCGGGGCCGCTTCTGCGGAAATGAAGCGGCCCCATTTCCGCAGAAGCGGAAATACCAGCAACCAGCAGACCTCAGCCTTCCCAAAAATCCATTATTGATCCGTTAACCATCCGGAATTCACCCGAGGCCCCCGGGACCTCAAACAAACCTACCAACCAATCCCAACACACGTTACGGACTTGATCGAGGCCTCAAATCACATCAAACAACGCTAAAATCATGATTCAACCCCCAATTCAAGCTTTATGAACTTTAGAACTTCCAACTTTTACTTTTGATGCTTAAACCTATCAAATCACGTCTGATTGACTTCAAATTTTGCACACAAGTCATATTTGGCATTACGGACCTACTGCAATCGGATTGCGACCCCGATATCAAAATGTCCACTCCCGGTCAAACTTCTCAAAAACCTTCAAATTTCTATCTTTAGCCAAATGGGTCCAAAATGACCTACGGACCTCCAAATTCACTTCCGATCGCGCCCCCAACTCCAGAATCACCATACGGAGCTATTCACAGTCTCGGAATCCCAGACGGGCATCGATAACACTGAAATGCACTTCAAGCCAAACTCATGAAAATTTCTTCTAAATGCTAACTTCCACAATAGGCGCCAAAACACTCCCGGGTTATCCAAAACCCGAACCGGGCATATGCCCAAGTTCGAAATCATCATACGAACCTGCTGGAACCTTCAGATCCTGATTCCGAGGTCGTTTACTCAAAATTCCAAATCCTAGTTCATTCTTTCAACTTTAAGCTTCCGAAATGAGAATTCTCTTTTCAAATCGACTCTGAACTTCCCGGAACTTAATTTCGACCATGCGTACAAGTCATAATACCTGAAATAAAGTTGTTCATGGCCTCCGACTGCTGAACGGAGCGCTAGGACTCAAAACGACCGGTCGGGTCGTTACATTCTCTCCCACTTAAACAAACGTTCGTCCTCGAACGTGCTGAGAACTATACTGGAGTAGTTTGAAATCACTGTTTAACACCTCATGCACCTTCCCGTGCTACCATAACTCAGTTGAGCACATCAGCTCGATCAATTCTGAAGATATTCCCTTTTTAAGCAAATAAGCCTTAGAGCCCTATTCAAACATCTGGAATTGTATGCCTGACCTGTTTCCAACATACAAACACCGTATCAATCCCCACACGCTGTACCCAAACATGACTGCATAACTTTGCTGAATTCACACCTTGAATCATTTTACTCACCGGACCACAATAACATTTTCTGTTCAACTTAGTTGAACTTCTTCAATTATAGCCGGCTCAGCGGCCTTTGGGACCTCGACGCTTTTTTTTCGAGCCACTAGTTTGAAGGCGCCATCCTCACCCTCCCCCTCTTCTTTATTTTGTAGCTTTTGGGCTACGTCAGCACATAGAGCGGCGGAATCATCCTTCGATTCATGAGCCTTCTGACAAGAAACATTACCTCATTCTGAACCAAATAATGGTCTTAGCTCCTTAATGTACCTCATATAGTCAGATTGCACTGATCCCAAATCCAATGATCTCGTCTCACCCAGTACGAGCTGCTCAGGCATTAAGCCACCCCGACATAATCAAAAGTCTCATATGATGCTACAATGTGCCAATAGGCTACCCTAACAAACACGATTTAAAGGAAAGCAAACTTTGAGTAGGGAATTCAACTACACCGCTCGCGAATCATACATGCGACGCGGTCAACTTAATTAAACAAACACCCCGCTCGCGAATCATACATGCGACGCGAGCACATGGCTAATATAAGCTTTCCTTATAAAATAGGAAACAAAACACATAAAAACAGGTACGGGGAACTGTACTCAGCTTCACACTATTGCGGCGCGCAACTTGATCCGAACAACATAACCATGGCGGCGTGCCACCCGATCCACCCATAAAACTCGCATAAGGAGGTACGCACCGAGTTAGACTGCTCATTTCAATAATATACCGAATATTGGTCACAAGCACACTAAGTGCATAATAACATCCCTGAGGGAACATATAGCGTCATAAGATACAAAACTCAAGCACAACTGAGGTGCGATATACAAACTGAATCTCAAGGGCCATCTTGCTCATAAGGCATCACTTCTACGCGGATCCTCAACCCATAAGCAATTTCTCAAGCCGTCTCACAATTCGCACGGCGCAACGCATCACTTCATGAAATATCTGCCAATGAAATAACACCCTGACTACTCCTACATAAGGAGTGCATCACCGAAATAAACACAATTGGCCTGACATAGAGCCAAATTTACATTTAAATCCATCCACCGACCTCAAGTCGACCCTGATCATATCAAACTAAGCCAGTAACCTTTCAAAGGTCCATACTAATTTCCCTCTTCTCATAACACACAAGGACAACCATCATAACCGGAGTACAGTCCACAACCCAGAATCCGGGTGCCCTCCAGGCATCCATTCTCAATTTAACGATATCATCACAATTCTTCATACTTGGTCTAGATCTTTAATCAATCCAGTGGCTACGTGCCACATTTATGCAATCTTCCTGTGGGACACACTCCCACAATCTACCATAACAATTAACTGGGTCTTACCTCCAACCTACCGACCGCACTAACGCTGAAAAGCGATCAAGAATCATTAACCATGATACAAGCCCTCTTTACAAAACACCAATCTCAGGTGACGCTGAAGACAATACCAGCTTACCTTAAATATCGAAACTCCTTTCCTGCTCACCCGAGCTTGTGACATCCTTGTCAACACCGAACTGCTACATTGATCTTCACTTCAAATTCCCTACCACTCACTGCACGTGGCATGCCAATATACAATAGAACTCGTTCTTTCATCATAGCTTCGAAACCCCTAATAGGTTAGCACTTCATCATATAAAAACTTTTCACTTAACTCACTCCAGGAGATCCATATCGTCACACAGGTGAATTCTCAAGACCGTAGAATATGCAAATCTCTAAGTAGTGGTCTAAGCCACCATAGCCCTTCCGGAATCTGCTTCCACATAACAAGCCATAACAGTAGAATGCTTCTGAATAACATCAATTGCGGCGGCTGACAAGCCTGATACGTACCATCACAAATCACTTACATAACTCGATCACGCTGAAGAAACTGACTGCCAACACCAATATGCCAAATTCAACTATGGCCAATCAACTACCTTCTTCCAATTTATCCTTGATTGCCTTAAAGATAATACTGATTTCATCCAACACATAACATGCTCCATCTGCACTCATCTTGAGTGAGCTCGAATCACGAGACCATGCTGTCTCAAATCCCATGAACTGCCTCATATCTCCTAAATGCTATACCGCAAGCCAAAACATCACAGAACTTTCTGAGCCTCCATTCGTAAGCTGCTGCATAAGCTTGATTCTCA